TTTTTTTTTTTTTTTTTAAAAAAATGTCATTAACTGTTAGGGAATTTTACTTGAATACTCATTACCTGCAATGTTTTAAAAACGGACATTACATACCAGAGACAGGAAAAACCAGTGTTGCAGTAAATTCTCAACGCTGTAAATGAAGATTAAAAAGCAGAAATGCATTATACAAAAAACATTGAAAAACCTAGAAAAAACAACCCCTTAAACCACCCAACAAATTGTTTTCCTAAACCAAGTGGCAGTGTTGGATCATTTGTTCCTAGGGACACAGGTAGGGCTCAAAGTTGGCTTCTGGTGGACGATTGTCATGCCCAGCCTGAGGTGACTCAGGAGTCCAGCTGCTGGTGCATCCAGATGTGAAGTCACTGCCAAAACGGGCCTCTCTAAGTGGGCCATGAACAGCTGACCCCAAATTGATGCTTTTTTTTTAGGATTTAGTACACACATCCCCCCCACTTAATTTTTTGGTGCTGACATGGAAGTTCATGAGCTGTGTTCTCAGCCAGAGTTATGAATGGGATCTGTCAGAGCCCTGTACAGCAGCATTAATGGTTGGAATTTGAACCACACAAGGCAGGACTTCCACTAATTACAATTGGTAAACCAAGGTGTAAAGGGCTTTAATTTTTATTTTTTTTTTCTTATCTGGTTTCTGTTGGTCAATTCTGCTCCTCAGATTCATGATTCTAACAAAGCTGGTAATATGTTCTGACTTACAGGTTTAATTAGACTTTAATGGATCAAGGTTCAGTGCTCATTGTGACGAGCAAAAGGTGGTTTTCCCTTGGGAACAGGAATTTTAACTCTTACCCTTCCAATCGTGTTTCACCCTGTCTGGTTTATAACAGTTGAAAGTTGTGTTGGCTTAATAAACCAAACTGTTCTTGCTTGGATAGTATTGGGATCTTGGCACTGCTGCGTGTCCCACTTTGGATAATCAGGATTGGATGGTGCAGTTCCAGTCGGTGACGCCGGATCGGGAATCAGGACGCAAGGATGGGCTTTTGCACTGTTATTTTTCCTTTGGAATGTGAAGGTTGGAATGAGGGTTTTGAATTTTTTGGTTTTTTGGTTTTTTTTGGTTTTTTTTTTAATTTTTTTGGATTTTTTTTTTTAATGTTTCGACGTCTTTGAAAAGCCTTGCTTACATTTTATGGTGTAGTCATTGGATATGGAAAAATGGCATTATATATATATATTATATATATAAATATATATTATACATACTCTCCTATACTTTATTTCAGTTACCACCCCCATAGAAGTTGACAAGAATTGCTATGACTGAAAGGTTTTTGAGTCCTTATTAAAACTTTATTTATGACAGTATTCATAATTAGCTTGAGCTGCATTCTGTAGGTAATCTTTCCTTGAGTTTCCGGACTGTACGCTTCAGCCTGTTGGGATATGCAAGAGCTTACATGTCTGAAACTACTTGAAGGCATCACTTTGGTAAGAGCTTAACTGTAAGGCCCTGAAGCATCCCCTGGGCTTGGGCAGCCCCAGTGAAAATCTTTGCCACAGCTGCTCCTCCAGGGCAGCTGTGCAAATACAGCCTCCAGATTCCTCCCCGGGGCACACATTGTAAACTGAAGTGGAGTTTACATGCAGCATCAAAATCAGCTTTCCAAATTAAAAACCAACAAACCCTTCAAATAATCCAAAAAGAGGATGCTGGTGTGCAAGTTCCATGTTTAGTCCTAGCAAGTGTGTGCAATATGTTAACGATGCCTGTGGTTGCCACGAAGTGCCTCGTTTACCTTCTCAATACTGTTGGAAAGTGTCGTGCATGCAGATGGATGGGGTGGGACTGTGCACTAAAAGGGGCTCCAACTGCAGCGTTTTGGCAGAGCTGCCTTTCTCTGCCAGTTCAAATTTCCAGTCTGTTTTCATATAGCATATATATATATAGATACTAAAAGAAAAAAAAAAAAAATCAGTCTGTTAAGCAGCCTTACTCTGATTCAGCCTCTTCAAATACTATTGTGCTGTGCAACAGTGGCTCTGTGTGTAACTGAGAATACACAAAAACCAAGTATGACATGTACAGGATAATGCCTCATACAAATCAGATGTCCGTTTGTTATTGTGTTTAACAACCCTTTATCTCTTAGTGTTAAAACTCCACTTAAAACTGATTAAAGTCTCATTCTTGTCACTGTGTGGGTGTTTTATTGCAGTGTTCTGAGCTTGGAGAACAGCTGAGACGTTGTGCTTGTAAAGCTGTGGAATTTGGAGTGCGCTGCTTGGAGCCAAGGGCGCTCCTTGTGCATCCGGGGGTTTGAAGGGAGCTGCTGCTCCAAAGCCTGGTGTTTTCCAGAGGTTTGAGCAGTGCAGAAGTGGAAGTCCAGACGTGTGCAGGGATATCAGACCCTCACTTTGTTATCCTGGTGAAGGGAAGGCACCTCCTGGGGCATCAGACCACACGGGCAGGTGCCTGTCCCCAGTGCCTGAGGAGCTGCAAGAAGGATGGAGACAGGCTAATGACGAGGGCCTGGAGTGCCAGGAAATGGGGAATGGCCCCCCAGTGCCAGAGGGCAGGGATAGATGGGATATTGGGCAGAAATCCTTCCCTGTGAGGGTGGGCAGGCCCTGGCACAGGGTGCCCAGAGAAGCTGTGGCTGCCCCTGCATCCCTGGAAGTGTCCAAGGCCAGGCTGGACAGGGCTTGGAGCAGCCTGGGACAGTGGAAGGTGTCCCTGCCCATGGAACTGGATGGGCTTTAAGGTCCCACCCAAACCATTCTGGGATTTTCTATTTAGTCTCAAAGAGAACTTCAAAATGCACCTTATAAATAAGTTAATGTTGCATCTGCTGCATAATGAGACGTGAGTGCCACCTGAGAATTCTCCTGAAGTAGCTTTACATTGACAATGAGATGCATTTTTCCCTATAGAATTACAGGATTGTTAAGGTTGGAAATGCCCTTTGAGATCATCAAGTCCACTCTCAGGACAGATCAAGTAGGTAATTCTGTGGTTCTTTTGGTTGCTTGGCTGTTCTCAAGCCAGATTTTCAAGTGGCACTTCAATCCTAGGTGGTGTTCCCTGTTCCCAGGGCTCCCCCTGGGCTGCAGGAAGGTGAGAAGGGGTGGGGAGGTGCTCTGCTGCACCCCCAAATTGGGTAACTTCGGGTGCCTCTTGTTACTCCTCCTTCCTTCCCACCACTGGTAAGGCCAGCTCACCTACATTTGGCTGAGCATCTCCAAAAAACTCTGAGTTCTGTTTGGGAAGGGAGGTTTTGGTGCTCTGTGGGGTGGGTGCAGTGTTGGCCAGGTGGGTCTGACCCTGCAGGTGAGTGGCACTGGGAAGGGCTTTGCACCTCAGCACGTGCTGCTACCCAGGCTGTTAAAGCATGTTCCTTTTGGTGAGCTTGGTTTGTGTCCAAAAAATGAAAGCAGGGTGGGAAGATGCAGAGGAGAGTAGTCTGAACAGGGTTCAACTTGATGAGGAATTTCTATAAATATATATATACATATATAAATATATATCTACAATATAAATACACAGAGATCTCTCTGTGTGAAGGGATTCTGCTCTGGAGACAGGTGGGAAGTGCTGTGGACAGGGGATTTTATTTGACACTCATCCCATTGACTGAAAGTCCCATGCCCCAGCCCCCAGCAGCTAAAGGTGGGTTCTAGGCAAGGAAAAGCTCATTTTTTCCACTCTGGTGACCGATGTGGTGACAGAGCTTCCCAGGGAGGTGCTGGGTGGCAGCACAGAGGACAGTCCCTGTGCTCCATCCCCACATCTGGGATTTCTGTGTCCTCTGAGCCCTCTGCAGCTCCAGGGCCTGGCTGAGCTTTCCCAACCTCTGGTATCAGCAGGGAGCAGCAGCTCGGTTCCTTCAGCTCCCTTTCCAGGCAGCCACGGAGGGGTGCTTAATAATTAATTGTGTCTTCTTTTAAAGCTGCAGCAGAGTTATAAATTGCACTCTTTTAAGAAGGAAAGGTACTGGTGGGAGAATTTAAACTCTTTTTCCTGCAGTTGGTTGGCTCTGAAATGAGTGATGATGTGTCGGTCAGAGCAGATTCCCTGAGGTGACCTGGGTGCAGTGGGAGCTGGACTGAAAAAAAAAAACCCCAGCAAACCATTCCTATAGATTGTGACTCGATGCAAAGGGAGGGAGGTTGAGTAAGGAGTCAGCTCAGTGTCTTCTTAAAAGCAGAACGTGAATTGCTGCTTTGGCTTCTTGTCACCCTCATTCTTCGGTATCTTCTCAAACCCCATCTTTCCACATCTGTCCCTGGTAATTCTGCTCCTTTCTTTATTTCATACAATCCTGTGCAAGGCAGATGAGAAAATCCCTTTATTTTGAACTGAAGGTCCCACTAAAATAAAAGCCATTGCTTGTTTCTTTGCCTTTTGCTCCCTGTTCTTTGAGGCTTTTCCTTGTTGGGCTTTTTTAATGGCAT